CATTTAGTGCTATAAATTTTTCCTTTTGATATTTTAAAGTGCTTTCATGCAATCCAGAGGATTAAAAATTTAGGCAGTGAAGTATTTTTTCACCTTTGTAGGTTCTGCATTTTCTTTGCAGGCTTCTTTTATGATTTAAGATCGACCACTTTTCTGCTAGTTGGTTGTGCTGTGTTGACCATGATGGACAGGTTCCAGTGGAACGAGGCGTGGACATCTCGTTCTGGAAATTCAATAGTGAAAACCTAGTGGATCTCAACAGAACATTATCCAGTTCTCTTGGTTTGGACATGCCATCAGGGAGGATTAATTGCTGAAGGAGGACATCATGATTTCTGAAGTAGAAGGTCTGCTAGGGCAAGGGGACCATTGGTGAAATAGATTTATTTGTACAACTTTCACAATGATTGACTTGAACATTCGGATGATGATGACACAGGATCGGGCAATATTATGTTGTTTTGTACATAGGTGAGTTGACTTGAAAATAGTTGTTTATTGCTGTCTAATTCTATCTATCTACAACTATTTATTTATCTATCTACCTACTTACCTCCTACCTATCTGGCTATCTATCTATCTATCATCTATTTATCCATCCATCCATCCATCTACCTACCAAATTACTTACCTACCTATCATCTAAGATGGCAGTAGGATCCTATCAGGTTTCTTGTCATTCTTTTACTGTTCCTAGCATGAGGATGGTGCAAAGCCAGGTATTGCTTTGTCTCTGAGCCCCTGGCACCCAGCCACTACTGTAGCATGAGCATCCTGTTCCTTTCCCCTACAGTGGCAGCGATATGCAGAAACACGTCCACGGACTTCTTCCCTCCCTCATTTTGCCGCAGCAGGTTCCTGGGGCAGCTGGAGGAGTCTGAGTGAGCCCAGAGCCTCATGCCCCTGAGAGCCTGGATGCCTAACAAATCTGCGTTGAAGACCCATACGCATGAGACAATGAACGGACAGCATTCGCTGCCGGCCTTCACAGAAGTAGAGCCCTCTGCTTTTTTGCCAAGTACTTTCCCGATCTTATCACTGACACAGCCCCTAGCTTTCCTGTCGAAAGAGGCTGGGGACGGGCCCAGGTGACTCGGTCACCCCTGTCAAGAGCCGGAAGATAGCTTTATTGAGGAAACACCTTGCAGATGCTGCTGGACGTGGGCACCTGACCAGCATGTTATGACTGGAGTGTTTCGAACACTCAGTTCTTACTTGGGAACTCAAATTAAATAAGGTTTTGTTGCTTCTAAACAAACTACATTATAGAAAAATGAAATGCATCTTGTGCAAGCTGGGAACTGTGGCCCGCTGTGGTTCACAGGTCTTTTCTTGTCACGTTCTGCCATCTACCGGCCATGGCACAAATTACTCCTGAAGGGCTTCAGAGGAGCCTGCGAGGAAGGAGGTTTTATTCCTGAGCTTTACACTTGCCAGTTCTCACAGTTGTGTGAGCCAATTCCTTAAAAGAAATGGGCGCGCGCGCGCGCACACACACACACACACACACACACACACACACGGGAGGCTTCAACAAGTTTGTGTAAATTTCATAGGATATGGTTAGGCTCCAAGACCAGGTCATTATGTTAGGAGCATTATGCAAAACTGGTGGATGACTACATCGGATCAGAAAATGCAGGAGGATTCCATGATTAAAAACTGTTAAGCCACTGAGAATCATGGTCCCACCAAGTCGACACTTAACCTTAACCATCACAGCCAGCCTTACTCTTGCCTAGTACTTTAGCGTTTATTACTGCCAGATGTACGTTACTAATGTACAAAACATTTTTACATTTACATTATCAGAAATTTGAAATGTTGGATAACAAGGTAGTCAATAAGTGAGGAAGAGCTCTATACATAACATGTATGAAACATGTGTGTTATTAGTTGTTTCTCTGGTGGATTTTGACAGATACATCTGTTTTCTTATTTATAACACGAGGGTGGTACTAGAGCCTGCCTTGAATGATGGTTTTGGCTAGGATTACATGAGTTCCCAAAGGTAAAGTGTATACGACAGTCCTGAGTGCCTCATAAGCCCTATATGTTATGAGACAGTACTTTGAAATAACCTCCATAAATTAGTTATTACTTTATCATTGATGCCAAATGCTTGTAGAGCAGTTTTGTTCTCAAACTGCTTCCATCTAACACTTATCTCTTAAGAATCAACTCAGAAACTGCAGCTTCTGTTCCAGAGCCTTCCTGAGTTCACCTCCTGGAGCATTCCGTCTTCCCGTTCAACTGAAAGTTAAGTGGAGACTCCACCTTAACCGTCACTCTTGCCCAGCCCTGTGGCATTCATTACTGCCAGACGATGTTGTTCATACGCAGGACAATATTGGTTTTCACCTTTACATGATCATCTAGTTAAAATGTTGGCTAACGAGATAGTCAATAAGTGAGGAAGAGGCCTATATTTATTATGTAAAAGTGTGTGTGCGTGTGCGCACACGCACGCTGTTGGTTGTTGCTCTGGAGGATATTGACAGATACATTCAGACAGAAACCCACAATAGCTGGGTCTTTCTTGGACGGATGGTTTTCACTTTGGAAAACAAACTGCTGGGTAGTTTTTGCTCTGTGCCATGCCGGGGTCCCTTTGGGTCAGAAACCACCTGACTGTGGATTGTGTCGTCTCTCTCACAACATGCTGTCGTTCTCAGTGAGAACCCATGGAGCACAGATATCTTGCCTACAACTGTTTATAGGAATGGAAAAGGGCTGGACGGCGTCTCAGTCAATTGTGCATGAGCGTCCACAAGCCGGCGAGAGACTTGGGACACGCAAGGGCGGCAGCAGCAGCAGCAGCAGCAGCACCAAAAACAGACTGCAAGTCCTTGGAGGACAGGGCAACACTGTTTTCTTAACAATCCTAACATTTGTTCTACTATGCCCTGTGCCTCACACACACTTTTCTGTAATTCTCCTAATAATCCTGCAATGAGTATGAGTCTGTTACCTGTCCTCACAAACCTTACAGTTCAGTAGATTTCAGACTGTCCCTAATCTGTGAAGCTTTTGCCAGATGACCCAGACGGGAAATTCTCAAATCTTTGACCAAGAAGAGGGCATTTGTTCTCACAGAATGTGGTAGTTACATAATTGTTTGTCAATTTGAGAGGATTAAGAGTGAAGGGGTGGGGCCTAGCCTGTCAATCAGGTCAGAGCCAATGAGGCCTCTATGTAGGCATGGCCTTCTCCTGAGGATTCTGGGAACTCCTTGGAGACAGGAGACACTCTCTATCAATTCACTCTTCCTGGGAGAGGTTGCAGCTGATAAGACACATGGAGCTACACTAGTGCCCTGAGCTGGAGAAGCCATGTGGGGAAACCTGCCAGTACTGAGATGCTTACACCATCACTGGATCCTTGATCTTCCTGCATTCAGTGTCATTACGTGTCTTTCGTGAGTCTGAAGAGGACTTTGTAGATTGGTGTTGGACATAGGGGCTAATATTGGACTTAGGGACTTGATATGGGCTGTGCTGTTTTCTTAATGCACAATTACTCTGTAAATAAAGCTCTTTCTTCTACACAAATGAGTCTCCCTGGATTTGTTTCTCTAGTCTACCCGGACTAAGACACTGAACCATATCAACTTTGGGCATTCTCATTAAACTAGGGCAGAGCATGCTGGTTTTACAGGACTGCAACTTATCCTGCTCAGTCTTTACAATTATGCAAATAGATAGACGTTAGTCTATAAAGATTTGGGGTCCTAATTTACCGGATCCTTTTTTTTTTTTCTTGATTAATGGTTGTAACTTTTTATTTTGCAATTATAGATGTACAGGAAATTGCAAAGATAATACAAAGATTGCCATGTACTCTTTACCTAGCTTTCCCAAGAGGAAAGATCTTGCATAATAACAGGACAACTTCAAAATGAAAAACTGACAACGGTACAGTAACTATTAACGAGACTATAGAACGTATTCAGTTTCACCATATTTTACATGCATCCATAGGTGTGTGCATGTCCATGTTAGTCTATTCAATTTTAACACAGGTATAGATTTGTGTAATTACATCAAGAAACAGAGCCGTTCAACTCCCTTTTATACCAGTTCTCGTCTCTAGCTCCCACTCATCCGTTCTTCATTCCTGAAAGGGCTATTTCCACTTGTGGGCTACTGCAAAGAAAGCAGTTAGAAACAGGCCGACACAGCTTTCCTTTCTCTGAGATAAATGTGAAGGAGCATAGTGACTGGTCACATGTTAAGTGGATGTTTAACTTTAAAAGACATTTCCAAATTCTTTTCTTGAGTGGTTGTACTGTTTTATTTTCCCATTAGCTAGATGAGATATATTGTTTTCAAAGGTCCAGTTTTTCTGTTCAAAATTCAACCGTATTTGGTTTTATCACTATTTTTTTCCCTTTAGCCATTCTGATAGATGTGTAATGACAACACAATGTGATATTAATTTTCTATTTCCCTGTCAACTAATGGTATCCAACATTTTTCCATGTTTACTCCCACTCACAAATCTTCTTCATTGAAATATCTATTCATGTCTTCTCCCCAATTCCTGACTTTTTTTACTTTGGAGTTTTAATCATTCTTTGTATTTTCTAGATTGGTCAGATACATCAAAGGTTTATATATAAGTTCCCTCAATTTGTAGCCTGTCTTTTCCTTTTCTTTCGTTTTTTACAGAGCAAACATTTTTAATTTGGACGGAATCCAATATGTCAATGCTTTACTTTTGAGGTTCAAGCTTTTACGGGAAAATGTAAGAATTGATTGCTTGCCCTAGATCCTGAGGAATTTCTCCATTTTTTTCTAAATGTTTTGATATCTTGCATTTACGTTCACAGTTCATTTTGAGTCACTTTTTTAAAAAACGAGGTGGTTTAGGTTGAAATTCATATCCTTAAAGGGGGGGGGGGTAATGGGTGCCCACTTGTGAACAAGGCTGTCCTTTCCTCTATTTGATTGCTTTTGCACCTTTGTCAAAATTACTTGGGGCTATTTGTACAGGTCTGTTTCTGTGTGTCCATCCTCCGCCAATTGTCTTCATTATTGTGGCCTTATGTGGTGAGTCTTGAAATCAGCTTTCTGTGAGTCCTCCAATTTTCTACGTCTTCACAATGGATTTAGTATGATTCATTTTACATCTGGTTATTTTGCCTTTCCCCAGCTCATCTCCGGCTTATTCCAGGGAAGAAAGCTCTCGCATAGGCTCTTCTTTTTCTTGTTGCAACTCCTGCAAATGCTGTTGGTTTTGCTCCAGTCTGTCCTCCAACCACTGCAGGAGAGGCCCGCTGACTGCTGACATCTGACTGCACAGGTTCTTGGTAAATACGGAACCATTATGGATCTTGGTTACTGAGTCCAGATGAGTAAGGCTGTGGATCCTCCTATATGCATCCTGCTCCTCCTGGCACAGGATCTTGGGTAACTCTACTGCTGATTCAAGGCACACTTTCCCAATGGTGACACGAGGCACAATATGGATTGGGATTTCGATTCTCTCATACTCGGAGCTCTTCTGGGCCTGTACAGATTGGAAGCAAGTGTAGAGCACCCGGCCAGTCTTGGTGTTTTTATCTTCAATGAAACAGGAAAAAATCAGTCCTACAAAGCTTTGGTCCATCATCTGGTACATGGCTTGTGTGCGAACATCCACATGAGAAGGCCAAACAGTGATATGTGGATGGGAATGGTACCAGCCCACGACTCTCATGGGGCGACCTGTGAGCTCGGCCAATCTCTCTGCCTCTGTGGAAGTGGCAGACAACTGCTTTGGAGAGATCTCCACTCGGTCCTTCCTTTTATCAGAACGTCGCAAGATGATGACAGAGTGAATGTGAATAATCTTCCCAGTGTCAACCTTTTCACCAACTGTTCGCAATTCAGGTCCAGTAGATGCAAACTTTGAGTCACTCCTATTGGGGCTTATATCATCATTCAACTCCCCGATGCACAGCCCCATCACCTCCTCCTTCTCTGTGCTCAGAGCGTGGTTGAGGCAGACGAGGAAAGCGTCCGACTCCAGATGCACGGCCTGCACCACCTGCCCCGCCATCTTGATCCGAGTGCTTCACCTTTACCGGATCCTTTAATGCACAGTTATGCACAGCTTGCCTAGTCAGGCAAGCAACACTGGTACAATGACAAAAATCATCAAGCATACTTCTGAAAAAGTAGGTCCTAATATCTGGACCTAATATCAATTGAGCGAGTGTTCTTGCTTGAATTATGTTGTTGGTAAAAGACATTAAATATACCATGGAGCGCCGGAAGAAGGAACAAATCAGTCTTAAGGCAAGTCCTGCCAGAATAATGCTTCAAAGTAAGGGTGGCAATAGTTTGTTTCCTGTATTTGAAAGGGTTTTGAGGAGAGACCAGTCCCTGGAGAAGGACATCATATTTGGTAGAGTAGAGGATCAATGGAAAAGAGGAAGACCCTCAAGGAGATGAATTGACACGGGGGCTCTGCCAGCACACTCAAACATCTGAAACATGGTGAGGAAGTGTTGCATTCTGCTGTATTTAGGGTTGGTATGAGTTTGCACAGACTCAATGGCTCCTGATAATAAAAACAACAACCTGGCTGACTTATGGAAGAAAACACAAAACACAGTGCTCACTGAGCTCTTTTTAATCTAAGAATTTCGACCAGAGCCCTGGTGGCCTGGTGGGTTACTCATTGGGCTGTGAACAGAACGGTCAGCAGTTCAAAACCACCAGCCACTCCTCAGAAGAAAGATGAGGCTTTCTACTCTTGTAGAGAGTTAGTCTTGGAAGTCTACCCTGGGCAGTTCTACCTTGCCTTATAGGATTGCTAAGAATCAGAATGGACCCAATGGCAGTCCATTTGAAAGCATACCTCTGCTCAGCGCTTGGGTCTAGGCTGGTAAAGTTTCCTTTTGCACTGTAGTGTTTAGCTCATTTAGTGGAAGGATGACCTGGACATGGAGCAGTTAAGGAGGAACTCCCAGAAATCACAGGCCACATTCTACGATGCTCACCCTCCCGACAATCATTGAAGACAAAGCGGGTGCATAAGCAAATGTGGTCAAGAAAGCTTGATGGTGCCCAGCTATCAAAAGATATCTGGGGTCTTAAAGGCTTGAGGATAAACAAGCAGCCATCGAGCTGAGAAGCACCAAAGCCCACATGGAAGAAACACACCAGCCTGTGTGATCACGCAGTGTCGGTAGGATCAGGTATCAGGCATCAACGAACAAAAAATCCTTTCATTGTGAATGAGGGGGAATGCGGAGTAGAGATCCAAAGCCCATCTTTAGGCAACTGGACATCCCCTTACAGAAGGGTCACGGGGAGGAAATGAGCCAATCAGGGTGCAGCATAGCATTGATGAAACATATAACTTTCCTCTAATTCTTAAATGCTTCCTCCCCCCACTTTCATGATCCCAATTATACCTTACAAATCTGGCTAGACCAGAGGATGTACACTGGTAAAGATAGGAACAGGAAACAGGGAATTCAGGTCACATGAACCTTTCAGGACCAGTGGTGAGAGTGGTGATGCGGGGAGGGTGGAGGGAAGGTGGGGTGGAAAGGGGGAACCGATTACAAGGATCAACATATAACCCCCTCCGTGGGGGACAGACAACAAAAAAGTGGGTGAAGGGAAATGTCGGACAGTGTAAGACATGACAACAATAATAATAATTCATAAATTATCAAGGCTTCGTGAGGAGGTTTGGGGAGGGAGGGGAAAAATGAGGAGCTGATATCAAGGGCTCACATAGAAAGCAAATGTTTTGAGAATGATGATGGCAACAAATGTACAAAAGTGCTTGACATAATGGATAGATGGATTGTGATAAGAGTTGTATGAGCCCCCAATAAAATGATTTTCAAAAGAAAAAAAAAGAGAAACTTTTAAAACAGTAAAAAAAGAGAAATGGCAGCATAATCAGCTGAAGTATATGGCCTCAGAGGTAACAATCTTGAAGGAAAAATTTAATTTGTGTGAATTAAAAAAAATCACAGGCCAAACTGAGTTCTCTTGAGATTTTTTTTCTTTTAAAGCTGTCCCCAACTATCTATAACAAGGCAGCCTCCCTTATGGAGAAGGACATCTGTGTATTTTTTGATAGAAAAGTGCTGTCTCCTTGTCATTTCATAAAAAATATTTACTTCTCTGTCTCCCTCCACTGGGCCTTCTGGTATCTCAGAGAGGAACAGGACTACCTGGTAAAGAAAGATAAGCTGTGCTTCTTAGGAGAGATTTGCAAGGGAAGAGGCTGTTTAAACACGAATCAGGAGGTAATTGCGTTCCTCTGGTTCTAAAGCAGGGCTGCCATCTCCTCGGCCAGGGAAGGGCAGCTGCGGAGGGGCAGACCACGTTTGCTTGGGACGCCGGTGCTGACGGCCACTCGCTTGCAGGGACCCACAAGCCAGGTGAAGTGGCTAGATTGTCCCGACAGGGGATCTCTTCCTCGTGCTGCCTTTTTGAGATTGCTCTGTGGAATCAAAGAGGCCCACGTGCAGGGATGGCCCCAGGGCCCCAGTGGTTCAAGTGCAGCGAAGCCCGCTGGGAGCAGGGCCACAAAAGGACTGCGTTCCCGCCTTTCACCGCGCGCTCGCCCTCCTTAGGACTGTTTGTCAGGACCCGCAGCCTGTGGATGGCATCGCACCGCCCCCCATAATGCATTGCACGCCTACCCTTGTACCTGGGTGTCTGGCCCTGTTTGGAATAAGGGTTTCTGCTTAAGGTCAGTGAGGTCGCACCAGAGTAGCGTGGGTTTTAAACCTAATCAGTTCTTGGTGCCGTATAAAAGAGCAGGGCTGATGCAGGGGCGTACACAGGGACCATGCGCACCCTGGGCTATCAACAAGGAGGGACCCGCCCACACAGTGGATGCCTTCCTGGGGGACAGCGAGTTTCTGGTCTTCACAGGGCGTGGGGTTTCTGCTAAGGCCGCACTAACATGCCAAGGCGGACCGTCTCTCTTCCTGGGTCTCTCGGAAGGGCCTGCTGTGGGAACGGAGGGTGGTGGCGGAGACGGCGCCTGTAGGAAGTGTAACATCTGGTTTAAAACTGGGTTCAGTCAGCTTTTCCAGGTGTTCCCAAGTCTACCGATGTGTATTGATGGGAAGGCCCAGCAACCTGACTGAACCTGGCCATTTTCGTCCCATTGTTCTGGAGAAATGGGTGTGCTCTATCCCAGTCGCTTTTCCACAGGAAGAGCTGATCTAAGCTCAAGGACACCCGAGCTTCCCTGCCTCTTGCTTATCGCCCAGCCACTGCACTGGGTGAGCACTGGGGCAGGGGGCTCAGTGTGCGCTTAGTCTGCACTGGAGCGCAGCTTATGCCAATGGTGCTGACCCTGTGGGATGCCCGGAAAAATCAAAGGCAGGGATAAAGCACGAGAGAAAGGGCCTGGTCCTCCCTGAGCCTGGGGTTTTTCCCCCAAGGGAAAGGCCTGGGTGGGGTGTGCTTGGAAAGGGTGTCTGCTTTGAGATGTGGGTGGATACCTTTGCAGGCCCTAAATCTCCCTCTCAGGTTAGTTTAGGCGGGAAAAGGCTGCGTGTGTGTGTGTGTGTGTGTGTGTGTGTGTGTGTGTGTGTGTGTGTGTGTGATTCCTCAGACAGTGTCATAAAGCAGACCAAAAAGAATTGTTAAATGTTGAGTGGGCGAGGACTTGTCCCCCCACCACATCTTCTCCCCCCTCCCTCCTCTTTTCCTTTTGCTTGAGGCAGTTCAAATATCATCTGGTTATTCTGTTACTTCTGGGGGATGAATAACTGTGAACTGAGTGATATTGAAATGATCACTTTCCAGCTGTGATTTAATGGTTTAGAAGTGTGGAAAATCGGGAGGTCTTTTTGGTTTTCAAATTTTTTGATGCCACCTCTTTTCAGCAGTTTCCTTCAGCGTTCCTTTGTAGAAATGGATACAAATACCTGTGGAATAAATCTGTCCCCGACGAGCCAGAGGTGGACTTACCACAATGAATGAAGCTTAAAATTCAGGGCTTCTGCTTTCATCCCTGTGAGCCGGAAGCAACAGCAACAACAACTTGTTCAGGCTGCTTTTAAAGCTCCAGGAGAGCGGACATTCACCCGGCCATACATTTCTGTTCAACTTGAAAAAATAAGGCCTTGGTTACCTTCCCTAATAAACCCTATCATTCTGGGGGAGGCCTTTACTATACTTGTTCTTGAAGCCTGTCATCCATGGTGTATTAGTCTAGGTACTTTAGAGAAACAAATCCACAGCAACTCATGTATAAGAGAGAGTTTTATGTAAAGAAAGTGTGCATCACGAAAACATCCCAACCCAATGCTGCCCAAGCCCACAAGTCCAACATTAACCCATCAACCCAACACCAGTCCACAACGTCCTCCACCTCACAAAACAGAGGCAATGATGCCGACTGCAGGAGGAAAGCTGAGTCGGTGAACGAGTAAGCATCTCAGCACTGGCAGGGGTCTCCACATGGCTGCTCCAGCACCCAGGGCTGCATCGGGATAGATCCATGCGGCTTCTCCTTGGGGATGTCTTGTAGGAAGTCAATCTTGCAAGCTGAAGCATGGAACTGCTAAGGCAGCTGCACCCTGGTGCAACCATCACAAAACAAGAGACCCGAGAACTAGAAAGGCTAGGCTCACCACCCATTTATCCCTCTGCCTGTCAATTAGCCCCACCTGTGATTATCGGCCAGGTTGGCACAATGAACTAACTCACATGTTTTAAGCTTTAGGCCCTCCAGCAAACTATTACGGTATGGCAAGTCATTTCTTACAAACCATTGGGCTGTGATCTGCATGGTCGGCAGTTCAAAACCAGCAGCAGCAACTCAGAAGAAAGATGGGGCGTGCTGCTCCTGTAAACAGTTCCAGTCTCAGAAACCCACAGGGGACGGCTATGAGTCAGCACTGACTCCACGGCAGTGAGTGTGGTTCTGGGTCTGCCTCCGCCTTCATCAAAGCCCATCCACCAGGTTAACTTAGAGTACTGTGTTGCTGTTGTTAGTTGCCGTCAGGTCAACACGATGACTTCATGTGTAGCAGAATGAGAAGTGACCCCGCCCCGGGGCCATCTCCACCACTGACCCTCC